CCTGCTGAAGTCTAGGTGGAAGATGGTTTAAATCTGGCATAATTCTGAATTGTACTGTGAGCTGGCAGCAAAGTTTTCTCGGTAAATAAAATGAGGACTGTTTAAAAGACGTTAATATATGTTTCCATTTTTCTTTTTAGTTAACTAAAGATTGTAATAATTGAACCCTTACATGATGATGTCCTTTGCTATAACTTGTCAGGAAGCATTTCAAAATCTAATTCATATAAAAACTAATTCTAATTCTCTTGTTCTGAACTAAGCACATTTTGCAGTTCTTTCTCTAGTCAGAATAAAACAAAAAAAAGTTATTGAAAGTTCTTTTCTTTCCACATGGAGCGCTAAGCTAATACATTTAGCAGAATGACCTTTCCACTTCACCTTTCTACTTCAATTTCAGAGCCTACTAAGTAGTCAGCAAGATTCAGACTCCTGTCCAGTGCAAATGGAATTACTAATGTCAACAACAGTTAGCTCTGTAAGTTAATGTAAAAGATGGTATGCACGGATCTGTTTTTTCAAACTGGTTGCAAACATAAGCACTTCCAAAGAACAGTTTGTTAGCATGCTGCATTTTGTTACATGTCCTGTAGTGCTGTGATGCTTACAGAAAGGAAATTTGTTGCTCTCTTAACACAGGAAAACAGTTTATGGGTTCCCAAAAGCATAAATAAAGCAGCAAAATGCCCCTAGAAATAAACATTATACTACAGGTGTATATAAATAAATGAGAAACATTCAATAGAACTTGGGAAGGAAAAAAAAAAAATAGTAGTATCGCATTTAATAGGAATTTTTGCTATTGAGACATAGTAGACCTTATTGTACTTTGTCTCTTGTCCAGGCTGAAGAACCTTGTTTAATCATTCATCATCTGGAAGCTGTTTCATACCTTTATCTGAACATTTTATTGACTTTTTGATCCTCTAATTGACTTCCCACAATTCTATATCCCTTCTGAGAATAGGGTCCAGAATTGTGTAACGCTTAAAACACAAATGGACTACAAATCTATACAGGGACACAGTGACATTTGCCTTGTTTATGAGTGTCCTTGCTTATACGAGTGACTTATTTCCTAGTTTTCTATTCCTTTCCTAATAATCCGTAGCATTCTACTTGCTTCTCACAAAGCAATTTTTGCAAAAGTTTTCCAACATTTATCCCTGAGTTAACAGCTGGTTCAGACTCCATTACCATGTATATAAAATTTTTCCTTCCCCTGTGTGCATTTCTCTTCTCAGTAGTGAATTCCAACTGCCATTTTATTGCACAGTGAGACACGGTCCTCTACAGCTCTCTGCAGCTGGCCCTCTAAACACAAGTGCTGCTCAAGTAAATAGCAGAGGACATACATAAAACAATACCTACCTTAAGCGTTATTAAAACACATGGTTTCTTACATTAAGCTGCCTAAGAAAACAATTTGCGGGTGGTAGAATTAATTCCTAAAACAAGCAACTCGATGCTCATTAGACCTTGTCGTTCCCTAGAGGCACCTCTTTGTTCAGCCATTGCCCTCAAAGTTCAGGCACTTTCTATGGAGAGTACTTTACTGTCTCAGGGGTTCCAGCAGTAATAATGAGCAACATCATCTGATTCTTTCACACTGGTGAGTAGGAAAAAAGGCAGTACTATAGCCAATCCAGTACTACTACATCTTAAGAAAAAATAATCAATGAAAGACTTGGAAGAAGATGATGGCAAAATCCATCCTCCTTGCAAATTCAACTCTCCCCAGCATTTTTCCCTACTACAACTTCATTCCCTACTCTATCTTTTTCCAAGAGTCCCAAAAAAACACATTTTGAAAACTGAACTCTGTGCCTCCATTTTATACCCTGTCCCCCTGACACCAGCTCATCTTTCTTCCTATCTTCAGGAGTGAAAATACCATGCTCAAAGGGTAGAGGTTGTGAAAAAGAAGAGGATAAACAAGTCTGTACATAATTAATACATAATTTTAGAGCAATCATCACTACTATAGTCTTAGTATACCTTCCATCTCAAACTGCTAACACATAAAAGATGCCTCTTGCATCCATTCCATAACTCCATATAAAAGGAATGTATAATTCTTGAGCATTTACAAGTACAGGAAAGCACTCAAATACTCCATCCAGTACCGAAATACAAAAGGTGCTTTGATTTAGGAATATGCTACAACAGATTAGGCAGGGAAGCTTCTGTCCCATTTAAATATACCACAAATATTAATTACAATCGTACTACATCCCCTAACTGAAGATAAAGCAAAATGGTCTCTTTAAAATACAATTTTTTTTTATATATATATATATACACATATATATATATTTTTATATAAGTAACCTAACAGCACACGAAAATCTTAATGATTAGAACTGTTATTATTACCTTTGTTTTCTAAGCTGCATATCTTCCATCACTCCTTGGATATGGTCCACGTTTTCTTTGTTTTCAATAGTCACATCTTTTCCATAGGCCCAGGATGCCTGATTAGATATCTGATCAAGAAGACTTTGACCTTTCTCACGCAAGCCTTGCAAGCCTAAGTCTAAAGAAAAAAAAAGTCAATGGTCACTCTTATAAATTTGTTTGGGTTTTTTTTCCCCCCTCAAAGGAGAGAGATGAAATGCAACAGAATCTGAGATGGAAGGCTGGAAAGTAAAAAGGACATTACTATCTGTCTTTCACTACCCTTTCCAACTTCTAAGTTTGAGTGAGTATTTGCCTATATTAAGGAAGAGCTAAGGCGTTTCTATTTTATGACCTAGCAGATAACAAGAAAAGGAATAAAAGCTGACAGTGAGTATTAACTTTTCAGCACATAAATAGCTAATTAATGACTTTCATCCACACAGTTGCACAATACCTAAAATATTTATCACTGCTAAGCAGTTGTAGCTTAAATGTTCTTCCATGGCTGGCAGAAGTTACTACTTTATAATACATCTGATATGGCTGATGCATTTTTCTACATGCCAACCCTTAGAATCTGCTGTTACATCTATTACTTGGCAACTCTACTATCTGTTTTCTTAAAGGGATATCTAGTTTATGCATCAAACTGTTATATTCCAATCATAACTACTTCTACCATATAAGATTTTGCTTCAAAGCCTTTTCTCCTACAACATATTGGAGTAGATGATCATTGTAGGTCCCTTCCTACTGAAATACTCTACTCTATATGCTTGACAGTGTAACAACCTTAAATGTGCATTTACTAACATATACATTCAAAGCTACTGCAAAATACTGAGTACAAGCATTCTAAAACTGAGTCAAGGGGTCAGTTCTGGAGACAAAAAGATCATCTAAGCACTATATTCCCAAGATACTAAGGATGATTAGTGGGGAAAAAAGTTTGTCTACAGATGAAATGCATGACAATGGTATATACAAATATATATTACATGTAAAACATTTAAAAGAAAACATTTCCAGATCATTTTCCCAGATAGAACTACTATGCAGTAAATAGCACAAGCAAGTCAAAGGTAGTTAGTGGAGTATTACTTAGCTAAGGAATTAGAAGAGACAGATATTATTTTTTATGCTGTCTTTTTTTAAAGAGGGTGGTGGGATTACTGATTTTTTTCCTGTAATGCATTCACTAGAATGTGTGTATCTGAATGCAGAAATATTTTGCTTACCAACACTTTTCAATTTCTCTTCCAATAGTTTTAAAGTTTGTTGAATTGATGCTCCATCTGCTGGTGCTACATCTACACACAACATTCCTAGTAAGCCATCCAATTGCTGAGACAACTAAAATGAAAAACAACATAAATACTGATATTTAAAAAGAAGTTTTGAGCTTCAGATGGCTGGGTCTGCAATATTCTTCTAAAATGTTTAGAAAGCTGTTATTTTAGAAGTTTCTCTTTGCATCTATAAGAAATGAAAGTCAAGATAAAAGACAAACGACCCATCTGCTTATAAAATTCCAGGAGCATACATCCCTAGATGGGGAGAGAGGAGGAAGCGAAGATTTTTTTTTTTTTCAGGCAAGTATAGGAAAGGAATAAATGCCAATTTAAAAATGGAACCATGAAAAGTACACCAAATTGCGGTTCAATTAATGCAGATGCCTCTAATTAGGGAAAAAAACCCCAAACAACAACAACAAAAAAAACAAGAGGGGGAAAAAGCAACTTTTTAAACTAGTAAACATTTTATTTCAAATACTATTGAAATGTAAGGTATATTACAAAGCACCTCCCTCCTAAAAAAGGGGAAATCCATCTTCTCAGTGTTTCAATTATTGTAAACGAAGACTTACTGTATTTTCTAAGTGACATTATATTTCCCCTCACCCCCCTAAATTTTTTCCAATGTATTCAACTTTTATAATACTAAGGCAATAATATATTGACAGGTGAGCCTGTGAAAAGTTAAAAAGAAAAACTTACATCCTGGGCAACACTGTGGAATTCAAGCGCTGCTTGTAATAGATTCTGCCTGAATTCCAGCTGACTGGCCTGCCGGTAACACACATCACTCAGCTGTTGCTGCAATGCTTTCAATTCCACAAGGTCCTCCTCATCCCCTGCATTTAAAAGAGCTGCTATCTGCTGATTAAGCTCAACATAAACAGCAAACCACTCCTACAAACACAAGAAAATAAAGCATTAAAATAATACCAAACATAGTTCTATTTCTCTTAAAATGGCATACATCTAACAGCAGACTAATCAATAATCAGATTAAAAAAGGAACTTATTACAGCTTACACTATAATTATGAAATCTCACACAGGAGGAAAAAACATTCCTAATTTCAAATCAACTCAAAAAGTGCTTAGTACATTTTAATATATGTACTGTAGTATAAAAGAAGGTGCAGAAAGATGGGAAGATTACAAGGCATAGCTACTAGCTCCCAGCACAAACTCCCACTCAAACTGTTTTACTGAACCAAGAGAGGAATTCCACCTTTCAAAAGAAATTTCTAATGCTTACATGTTGATAGTGCTCTACTGAAACAAAAGACCTCTTGCCAAGTGGTAAGCTATTACAAAAAAGCTGTTCATAAGACTATCTAGGTGTTACTTTCAGTGACATGATTGAAACCAGCAATAATTTTCTTAAAACATTTAGAAAAAATTACTACTGCTGACAAAGTGGAAATAATCTCTATCTTCTGAATAAAACAGAGTATCCATGTACAGAAACTTCAAAATTATCCTTGTTTCTTATTTAAGGAAAGCTTTATACTACTCAGTTCAAAATGCGTAGATTTGTTTTTCAAATGCTTTGATTACTGAATACTTGCATAGGAGTTAGTTATATTGCCATCATGGTGTATTTGAAAAAGAAAATAGTTCAAATATTTAACAATTCTGGGAGATTTGAAAATGACTTGATACATCAAGATCACATTCACATCCTGCATGATTGAGATGCCTGTAAAGCAAAACATGTTTGCTTAACAGCTTTTATTTTGGGCTACAGTAGAGTGACCTTCAAACGCCCTATGCATTTCTAATGCTATGGAATAGCACCATCTATTGGCCTAAAATATCTGATTTAATTAATATTCTTGTCATGCTCCTATTGGGATTTTTGCAATTTTTTTAAAATTATGCCTTCAGCTTTTGCATCATTTATTTACCCAGCATGCAAAATATAGAGTATAAACATCCATATTCTGAAAATGTTTTTCTTTCTACCCAAAGCCACCTCTATCATCTGCTCACAGGAAGAAACAGAGTATGAAAAGATGCAAGGAGGGGGAAAAAAAAAAGTAATGAAAAAGTTAAATTAGCAATCAGCCAAAAATTTAAGAGCAGAATAAGGCTCTCATCTACCCCAAAAGGGGCAACTAAGATGACATAATATGGAAACACCTTCCATTGTCACACACGTAGTATAGACATATAGGTTCAATAAACTCAGTTTACACATCATAACTCTTGTTATTATCTTTAGACACTGAACATACAAGTCAAGCTTTTGAGTGTGACAAGTCAACTATAATATGAGAAGTCAAACAAAAAATCTAGATTAATAATTTTGAGTTTTTATTTTTAGCATTAAATTAAGTAAAATAGTTGCAGTAATTGATTTTGGTCAAGCTATCAGTGAAATTAAGAGTCAGGCAAACCAGATATAGAAAGCATGTTTCTGATCCTTTCCACAGAGGAAAGCCAGGCACAGCTGTACGTGACAGCTCAAAACAGAGAAAAGGCCAACACTTGCTCAAAAATAACAGCTCTAGTATACTGCTCATGAATAAAACAATCAGAAAATAAAAACCCCAAAAACCAAACCTCTCCCCCCAAAACCAAACAAGAAAATCCCCCAAAACCAAATAAGAAACAAACAAAAAAACCCCACCACCCTAAGAAAATTATTTTTTCACTTCAGAGTAAACTGACGTAAAAAAGCCTATCTTTAAAGCAAATCAAACATTTTTGCAAGTGTCTTCAAAATAGAAGTAATATAATCAATAAATAGGAGAAGATGAAAGAAAGCAAGCATACAAGCTGTCAATTCAATTATTAGGAGAGAAAAAATAGGAAAATAAGGAAAGAGGAAGAGTACACTCAGCTATTATGAGATGTTTAAAAACCTTACTCAGTAGAGAGGTAGTCAATAGAACCAGTGTAGTCTAGGGCACAGTGTTTCTCAGACTAAAGGTTTGAGTTCGGGTTTTTTTCCTAAATTAGGTTAGAAAAATTACAACTCAGTGACTATTTTCTTTGTCATGACTGTAAAGGGAACTTAGGAAAAGTGGACAGAATTGTCAATGTCTGCATCAAGGAAAGTCGGAAAAGAGGAAAAGCACTGTGAGCAACACTCCCTTTGGGAACAATATGCCAATTATAGTCAATCTTCTGATGGAAAGACAAAACTCTACAGAACCTTAGGAAGTCTTCAAAATTAGAAGCAAAGGCATCAAGTCAGTACAGTTACAAAACAGTCTCTTCAAGATTTCATTATGAACATGAACTGTATCTCAGGGTTTTGATCAATGAAAGCATTAAGCCAGTTTCAGCTACTGGTAAATGCAGTTTAATAAAGACAAAAATATTAACTTATTCACCTGAGAAGTACAGGACTTCTCAGCCATTTTGGCAGGGAGGAAAAAGGAAATTTACTCCTCCTACACAACATGAAAATTTAAGAACTGCTGTAATGTAATAAAAACAAGAAAAATCATAGATAGAAATCAGTATTTTTCTACACTGGAAAACAAAATAAATAATATGGTCATTATATATACATGTTAAGTTCTTAAACTGCTCAGGTACTTTCCTCTGTAACCCATAAAATCATGCACTATGCAAAATTCCTAGACACTCATAACCAAAACACATTGCTCGTAACTGCATGTACTTAGAATTATTTTGCTACTTGAAAGGGGCATGGGAAGTCTCACACTGTGCTGGCTCTCAATCTCTTCATGTTTCTGTTGCAAAGCTTGTGAAGCTCTAATTGAATCACCTATTCCCCACTGGGTTCTTAGCTGTTCTGATCCAGGTCCTTCAAGCCAATTGACTACCTGTCAATAAGATAAAGATGACAAAAATAAAGTAGCAAATCAATTACACAAAAACTGGTATAAAAAGAATTCTGTAACATAAGCAGAAATATTTCAAAGTAAGTATATATTTATGAAAAAAAAAACATTTTAGGATCTGTAGAAGTCTTGTGTTGCATCCATTCACATCTTCAAAAGCTTTAAGTAGAAACTACTTTTCATTAACCTGAATGAAAGCCTGTCAGCTCCATGAAAGCAGGTGGCAGCTAAAGATTTGTCACCTACCTACTTGTCATTTCATATCTCTGTCAATAAAAGAGCTTAAACCACAATTTTCTTGATAATGGACCTCTCATGTTCAAACAAGAATTTTTTTTGTTGCCTGAGTGAATTACAATGCACAGCTGTATTCAACCTCACACCTGAGAGTTTTCTCCTTATTTTGTTGACTATATTAACACTCAAGTACAGGATATGTACTTATTCCAAAATTAAATTTACACAACAAGTTAGTATTTTATATATTTATGTCTTTCCAACTTGCTCTATTCAAATAACAGAAGCCTCTTAGAGTCTTAATAGTCACATCTCATGGAATCTGACTTTGCAGAAATCTTTGCAGGGTCACGGCAATACAGTTTTGGACTACTATTATTATTATTATTTTGAAACTATTTCATTTAATGTTAATATTATTCAAAGCAAAGCAGAGTATCTCAAATTTTGGTTTCTTTATACACGTTTGAATTATCAGATATCTATGGCAAAATTTTATGATATATTTTTAAACATCTAGAAAACAGAGACAGCCCTGATGAAACCTAGTGTAAAAGTCACTTACTACTGGAGTCCTGAAGTAAGGAAATGCAGGAATACCCCCACATACTGAACCTTAATGAAAGGCATAGGAAGCCAGCTTCCTCTCTTTAGTGTGACTTTTGTTTAAGCAAAGGTGACAGAACAGCTTCAAAGTTTTTCAGGAAATATAACACAATACACAACGTACCACCATAACTGTGAAGACAAATGAAAAAGGGACTAATTGGACCATTTTTATAGTGCTGCTAGGCTACATTGCAAAGTAATCAAGAATGATCATCACCATTACAGAAGGTCACTCAATTCACCCTTTTAGTCATCATATCTGTGTCTTCCCACCATCTCTTTTTGCCCAGCCCGCATAAGAAGTGCTGTTTCAGAGCATACATTCTTTGCTGCAAAAGCATCCTGGTCTTCCTTACTTTTATCGTTTCTAGGGCAAATTAAGACTTTACAGTTCTAGGTTCTTTTTGTTTAAAGAAAACTTCCTGTTGTGCTCAGCACCTCTGCACAGCTGTCTCTGGTTAAATATGGAATGGACCTAGAAGTGAAGGCACCCAGATGTCCCCCCTTAACATCAGTGTGGCCTGGAAAACTCACATATGGGAATGACAGTTCTCGTGCAAGTCTGAAACAGTATGCAAGACTACTGCTTAGCAGTGCCCTCTCTGACCAAGACCACCTCCCCATTACAAGTTTCCAGCAACTGCATTGCCTCGGAGACTGCTTAGCTTAGCACATGGCCATTCTTGTGTGACAGATACTTGGCCTGAGGAGAGAAGAGTCACTAGCGGACCTGGAGAAAGAAGCAATGTTATTTCATAAAATATATTTTTAAATAGTTAATGACTAGACTACTGCAAGGCCTGGCATTAATTTTTGTGAATTAAGATCAGAAAAATAGTAATTAACACCTCTGCCTAAGGAGAGACAAAGCTAGAATTTATCATAACATGCAGAGTTGCTCATCAGCAATCTGTTTAGTAGAACTGCTCATCAGAAAACATCTGGAAATCATTGCTTTCTTTACACTGCAGAATGAAAGACAAAGGAAAGGGAAATAAAACTATGGAATAGAAGAAAGAGTGGTGCTTAAAAAGAGAGGGTAGGATATTGAACACACAAGGGAAGAGAGGTGCTTATAGATAAGAGGGCTTTGAGACAGGAGTAAGAACTAAGCAGTTCACAGTAAGCAGAAGCAGCAAATAGTGAAAATGAAACACGAGCACAAAAGCAAGCCAGGAGCGGTTAGCAATATAAGAAGCTACACAAAGAATGAAATAGGAACATAATTGTAATGAAAGCTGACAGGAAATCAAAACACTAAAAAAAAAAATTAAAAAAAAAAAAAGAACGATCAATCAGCAACACAAGAGGAAAACTTTCTATGTACACACCCATTCCAACTGAAAATACTGCAAGCATGTTTTATTGCAATTTCTGTTTGTTTTGGGAAAATAAATTCCATGACACTGCCTGTATCAGTTTCCTCCATTCCATCGTTATCTTCTTACTTTTCTCTGTTAGCCTAATTTTCTCCCGTAAACCAAAAGGAAACTAAATCAATTTCTAGATTTAGTAAGTTTTCCCTGTACATTTGTATGCCATTTAGAGAGCTTTTAAATGCACTTTATAAAACTTATTAGCTTGGTAAAACAGCAAAACACATTCTTCCTGTGTACTGAGACTCAGTTCACTTACTATGCAGCACCCATAGTGTAGACAGAGCAAACAAAAAAAACTATTTCTAATACAAATATTGCAAAATGAGGCTGATGCCTCAGTAAACAAGTCTATTTAAATGCATTAACAATGTCAGTTTGCCAAAGTACATTATAAATTTCATTTCAATCAGCACATCTTGTTCAACCACTATAACTTTAACACAGGAAAAAAAAAATCTCACCTGATTATACCCACAGCCATGGTAATATGTTCTATATAGTACTATTTTCATCTCTTACACATTATTATTTCCAGCTCAAAATACCAAAGGACATTTGGTTTTTTTATGTTTTCATAATAATCTGAATGACTACATAAGGGAAAATTACTTCCTCAGTAGATCTATATTTTCACTGCTAGAAATAACAAGATTGATTAGCTTTTATCATTACCCATATCTGGAACACTGTGAAGTGCAAGTACTTGATTTGCACTCCTCATGCATTAGAAATGTCAATGTTGAAAGGTTAAAAGCAATATCCATTCCATTTTATGCATATTCAAACTATAGCTTAAAAACATGTAAGTCTGTTTTCAAGTAATAAACACACAAGGAATAAATTAATTCCTTTTCCTTGATTTTCTCTACTGAGACTCTGCTGAGAAAATGTTGAAAGTGCTAATTACATGTCTGTTTCCAAAGGACCCAACCAATTCATTATGACCTTTAACACACGATTGATTAGGAAGATTTGTATTCATTCTGATCAGGGTAGCCTTCAAATACAGAGAGTTTAATCACTTTAAGTTAAAACGCCAAGCATTAGACAAAGGAATAAATAATGGCTTATCTTCAGTAACAGGAACTTAAAACAACATGGGCAGGGGAAGGCTTCTAACTCTCAAGCAAAATTACAGTCAAATGTGTCTCATTTGTGAGTGTTCCTCTCTTTGCTAACAGGTCAGGCATTTGACCCTCCGACAATGTAGAGGTACACTGCCACAGTACACAAGAAAGGGACAATGTGAAGGTTCTTCAGAGTGATGGCAAGAGAGCACTTTTCTAACCACCTCCATGTATCAGAACAGCCTTTGGAAAGTCACCGTGGTAGCCACTATGTAAAGCATCAAGTGAAACTAGCACGTTGCAGTTTGAGGAGTGAAAGGAAGCATGAAGCTCTCACCACTGATTCTAAGTTTTACAGCAAACACAGTCTGGGACTTCAGCTCAAACCTCTGCCTCACAGTATTCAAGAACAACTCCAAGCTTACCTGCATTACCTTCTGCTGAATCTCCTCTAGTTGTGTACGCTTGCTACGTTGTCTGCAAACTTCCTGGTAGCGGGTATATTGCTCTCTGAGTGAGTCTAGTAGCTTCATGACCTGTGGCTGAGCAAGTAGTTCATCATCCATTGGAGACCAGGATACCCCTCCATCTGAACCATTGAATCGACGCTGTTGTAACTCAGATAGTAACTCATGACCTTTAAGAATACATATAATGATGTGGTTAATTTAAATTCAAAAAACAAGCACAAAAATCATTAGTAAGCATGCCTGCTTTTAGACTATCTGGTGGTACATTTTTGCAGCTAATGATCTTTCATGCATTGGGCACATTTAATGATACCATTTCATGCAGAGCACTGGCCACAGTTTGTGGGGTTGTATCAGTCATTAATTAGGGTAGAAATCATGCAGTATATTTTAGATATATAAAAGAGATACTGTGACTTTAACATTCATATTGACAATAGTACTGATTAATGTAAAGAAACAATTGCAAAGCGCAATCTTGAGTCTGAAACAAGTATAAGTATTCTTGTTTACTTCAAAATACTGTGTAGCATCCGAAGTATTTCACTCAAACAATTCACATTCTTAGATTAAATGAATGATCTAGAAGCACGAACAAACTGAGCATATAATTTCTCTGTTATCTTCCAGGATTTTTATAACATGTACAAAACTTTCATAGAAAGTGTGGAGCTGAATACTAAGTAATTTGATCAATAATTTTTTCTCACTTTTGTCACCTTTTTCTTTGTACTCTTAAGCACCATATCAGGGTACAGACTCTCTATAAAGTGTAACGACTTTCGTATATGCAAAAATAGTATGTTTTGACTATTTCATCCTCTGTTTAAACTGTTTGAAGAATGTTATTGTTAAGTTGTGGTAAAGTTTTCAGCATCTAAACTACCACTAAACCCATATTATCAATTTGTTCCCCAAAAGCTCAGTGAACAAGTTAGCAAATAAAACAGCATTTAGTCACTGTTGGTGTAAATGTGACAATCTGCCAATTCCACATCATCAGTCCTGCAGGTCTTAAAATGGTAACTTGCCAGTTGACTAAAAGAAAAAGAAATTACCACTAAAATAGAAATTGTAACACCTCAAGGAAAATGCAGAAAAATAGACTCTAAATTCAACTGGTATTATCTACACAATCAAAATGCCAAAGGCTTTGGAGACTGCAGCAAGCAATTACTCAGCATATATTATTGTGACATGAACACGTCCTAAGGATCCAAATACTATGGAAATAAACATCTTGGATTTCATCTTTTATAATACTACACAAATAGGCACAGATAGCTGCGGGGCAAACAGACTTAAAGACTTTTACAAGGTGGTAGTTCTACTGGGATAATTTTGAATTTTTATTGTATTGTTTCAGCAGTAAAGAATTAACATTTTCAAATTAAAAACATTTTTTTAAACTAGATTCTTATCAAATTCTAAGAACTATACTTTATATGTGGATCTGGAGCTTGTGCAAGCAACAGTACTTGTAACTATGGAAGACAGAAGCCTTTTATCTAAAACCTCAGTTTGTTCATATTTACCCTTAAGAGATAGGAAAGTTTAATTGGGGAGAGTTTAATTTTTTATTCTCAAACTTTCAACACAATGAATCTAACAAAGAGAAAGGTTGCCTCTTAGGAACTCCCATGATTTAATGAAAGTTATTAAACTTCATAGCTCAAAAAAAAATTCATTATGCCATAATTAAGAAAACAGAGAATGCATATAAATAACGTCATCTACTTACACAAAATTGAAGTGTTGTTTTGTCAAAAAAATCTTACCATTAGAGGAGGACACACAATTAGACTAAAATCTAGTGACAGTGACTACAGACATTTCATATTTTAAAAACCACAGCAAGGAACGATTGTTTCACCTTTTAACTCAAACAATATTATCCTACATTTAAATAAGCTAAAATTTTACACAGAGGGCATGTAAAGCCAGCAGTTCTCTGCGGCAAATATTACATGTGATCCGAACTACATTAGTTTGTAGGAGGCTATAAGATCAGGCACTCAGACTCTGATCACCACCTTAACACTATGCATTACTTCCTATTCTACAAAGGCACAAATCTTTAAGCAAATTTCTAGTCCAAATTAACAGTGCTATTATACTTTATTACCAATAGGAAATTCACCCTAAAAAAACCATTTCAATCAAAGAACCCCAAATTGTTTAATGCTCAAGGGAGAGTCTAAGCAGCAAAGAGTCAAAAGACTGTATGCTTCACTTTTACAGATGGTCAGCTCAGAACTAGGCTGATGCAAATTATCAGAATTGCGTAGGAAAATGCTATCTGTCTTGTAGCCATTTGGTGGCTACTGAGACAAATTCATTCTATAAGGCCAACATATTGACACCATCTAGAAACAAGATATTCTCAAAATTAAACATATTAATTATGGTAATACTATAAAGATGTTATGAGGATTATTAAAAACTATTTTTAAAAGACACCTTGGAGTTCTTCCATTTATTTGTTAACATTACTTTTTTAAATCCAACAAAGATGACATTAATTGATAAGCTTGTTACATTGTGATGATGGCTAAGATTATTGTGCTTTCACTTGGAGCTTAAAAATGAATAACGTTACTTTATTGACCAACATTATCATTTTTCGACTTACTATACCTGTCTGCAATACCGTCTCAGGATCAACTGATGGAAGGAAGTTCAAATCTATTGATCTTGAATAAAGTAACAAACACATTATTAATAATAGTAAACTTAATAATTACTTAAAGTAACAAACAAATAATTTCTATTACAGTAGCACTAAAAACTTCAACTAAGGCCAGAGCTACCTGATGCTATTAAGAGACTGTATGTTTCTTTCCTCACTCAGTAAAGCCCTCATTTTTTCAGCTCATTGTACCAAAACAGAAGTGCAGCTGCATGTAGTCAATAACCAAATAAGCATCCATCTACACACACACTCCGATGAATTTTGTAGTCTACATTACAATCATTCAGAATTTCTTTACACATTTCAAGATATTTAAGGCATATCATATTTTCAATATTGTTTGGATTTCCAATGAAATTTTATAATACAAAAGCATTCATTTCAAAAAGCGAACCACACACCTCTCTCTTTCTTGTTGAATTCCTTTATCACTTCCATTGTTAATTAGAGCAAGCTCATCCAGTAAGGATGTTGATTCTTTCGTGAACTTTTCAAATACCTAAATAAGAGGCAGGTTTTAATTTAAGAAATGAAAATTATATAACTGGCAGTATTGAACGCATCAGTGCAAATTTATCCACTAGTTCTGTTAGTATATTTCAATCTTTACACAGTGTCTTTCTTTCCCAACATTCAGATGGTAGGCTAGAAAGAGTAGAAACTATAAAGTTTAGTTCAGGGAATACTTGAGAGCACTAAGGTTCCTTAGGGAGACAGTAAATGTTACACTGAATATACCGAAGATGGACTGAATTCTGAAATACTGAAAAAATTTTGAGATTTCTGCAAAACCTATAAGTTCTTATGGACATATTTATTCTACATCTTCATTTAAGCCTTTAAGTAAATCTTAAGAATAATGCTAGAGAATCAAGGCACATTACACAAGCATCTGACAGCTCACTTGAATAGATTAAGATAATCAACTTTGTGAAGATTACAGCTTTTAATCACTACTAATATGGGTATATTGTAATGAATAACTAAGATAAAAGAAAGATGTATTATATAGAAAGAAATACCCTCACCAGTTTCTTTGAATATAGGAGCTTCTGATCTCACATAACACGGCCTGTATAGTCAGACACCATTCAGATGACTCCTCTGTACCTGACTTCTGAGGGTTGGTTTTGGGGGTTTTTTGTTTGTTTTTTGCTTTTTAACAGAACTGAGCATGATCGGGTGCCATAAGTGACGTGCAATAACTTTTAGGTCTTTTTGGTGTTAATAAATTATTAATCAATAGCCTGCAGATGAACCTTCCTTAACCTATCTAGGACTACTTAAATTTCAGGGAAAACCAAAAAGGACATGAGGTTCACAGCTCTTATAAGCCAATTTATAAGAGAGTGGTTTATAAAATACAAGCTAAATTCAGTTGTTACAAAAGGAAAAAAAAAACACCCATAGAATTAAAACGTAAACAGTGGTAAACTATTTTTCAGCTAGTACCTTTCTGCCCTCTTGTCTAGTTTCAGAATTTAGGAGTTGCAATGGAGGAGGTTCTTCATTAATATACAAAACAAGTGAAACAAGGCAAGAGAGGAGAGACAGGAGAAAGAAATTTTCAGTTGTAATTTGAACCAAATATAAAGCAAAAGTCCCACCTAGAGTGAAAGTACTGTCCTTATGAATTTTATGAATGCAGGAATGAGTAAAAGCCATATTTGTATATACCAGACAAAAACGAAGGACAACAAAAATATTAGATTTTCCTTCCCTCCCCTGCATCCAGGCGTTCTCAGTTTCAGGCAGAGAAGAAACAAGCTGCCTTGCCCTAATCTACGTACACCTAAAGGCTGTGCAAAGACCAGTAGGAAAAAGCTGCACAACAGATGATGCTCTCTCTGCCCTTAGGTCTGAACACACAATTTGCCAGATTCAGCAAAAAAGAAACATGGTACACATGGTCTAAGCCCTCAAATTTCTTGAGGGGGAAGTATTGCTGTTAAATTGGCTGCAGGGTATGTTTGAAGGCTTTGGGCAGTTGCGGTTGGAGTATTCCTTGTCCAGGATCCCACCTGGAGATCCTAGAAGGAGATGCACATTTTAAGACTAGATTGCACACGAAAGGAACACGCTGTTTTCATTGAAGATTAAATATTGTTTTGAAAATTCAATTTAAGTAGCTGAAAAACAACTACCAATGAAGAACAGATTAAGAAAACATTCTGGAGTGCTATGTGCACCAACAGTTGCTTAAACAATTTGTGTCTATTAATGATTTAGGGGTGTATTTGCTCCTAGGTGTTTACTGCATCTCTGTATCTACTGGGGAAACTGCACTGACAGAGGTTTTCGTGTAGGACAGCTTAAAACCTGGCTCTCAGTCCACAGGAACCAAGGCCCAAGAGAAAACCTTGGAGGATCTGCAGAGTCCAAGTATTTCCTCCTTGTTTTGGATTTCTCCTACCAGCAGCCAAACAATTTCCCTTTGTAGTGACTATACCGTACACTCAGGCTCTTCTAGAGTGAGGGTCTACAAAAGAGCTTCATTAAGGAACTTGTTGGTTCAACAAATTGATTACATTAGCTTTACATCCCTTGAGCAAATCCAGTGTTAATTAGACTATTCATGCATTTGAAATGCACTACTACACATATGACAATTGCTACACACTTAGCAGTTCCTACACAAATAAAAATTCATGGCTCAAGAATGAGACATTTGGGGAAAAAAAAAACCCAAACAAACAACAACAGAAAACTAACCAGCCTCTTATTCAACCAATCCATGTGATCATAGGTGAGAGTTCCTCCAAAATCTTCTGTTAGTTGGCATGGTTCTATATATCGAGTCAGCTTGTTAGCAGATACTAAAATAACCTGCAACAATAAAGGAAATTTTAGATACACTTGTAAGTAATGTTTATATTTTTCCTTAAGTACCTGTGAAGTTGTGTTAAGTGTGTCTAAAGGTACTGAGCAGATCTTTCTGTGATTCCGAGAAAGTGACCCTTTTGTTGCCAAATGTTTAAATGAAGTATGGCTGGTTGTAATTAATGTGGGCCTAAAACAGACAGGTAATTTTGATATGCAGTGTATATCTCATGCATAATCCTGTAAGAGCATCATCTGTACCACCTTGACTATTTACAATGGGAAAAAGAAATATGTTTCTTGGATATCTGCTTTCTTGGTGGTAACTGATGCTTCTTGATTAGGTCATACATGACCTATTTTTAGTGAATATAGTAGCAGGATTTCATACTGCAAAGCACTTAGTATTTTTTTCACTCTCTTGCAATACTTTGAGTCCCAGAGGTGAGTTTGTGCCATAAAAGTTAAGTGCCTGCATTTACTGTGCAAATATGCTCAGCAAGAGTTGGATCAACCATACTCTTTCCATGAGTAGTCAAATCTTAGTATGCTTAAAAGCCTGAGTCATTTGCCCAGGAGACAAATCTAGTTAATCAATTACTTCAGGAAATAAAGGAAAACCCAGGTCCACTGCTAGTCAGAAGACTAAATTCTTCATTTCTGCATTCTAGAGGCTAGAGGCTCCTGGCTGAGCCTTACTCATATAACCTAAACCAAAAGTTGGCAGCACAGGTTGCTTTGATGCATGATATGCTACGCCTGGAATAACTCCTGTGGAAAAAAACTCTCTATGGAAGCAGACATAATGGCAATATATAGCCGGGGCGGGGGGGAACACAAACCACAAACCAACACCCCCCCACCC